TTGTTCAGTGCAAGTTCCAGAGTTCCTGGAACGTGCTGCAAGGCTCCAGGAAGGAAGATATTGCTGCCTAGATAAGGTCAGGCTTTTAGTGCTAGCAAGTAGTTCTTGGCAGAAGTCTGAATATTATTGTATTTTCAGCTTTTGATTTCCACCTTCATCAGTGAAGCTTTTATTTTCTTCAAGGCAAAATGCTGCTACTGGAAGAAATACCAGCATTTCTGCCGTAACTATAAAAATTACTGTAAAAAAAGGCCCCTGAAAAGGGCCCTTGGACAGAATAGGGTACACTGGAAGACACTATCAGGAACAGGCTTTCTAGGACAAACACCTGGCTCTTTATTATTTGTCATATGTTTTTAGCCTAAGCCTGGTACAAGTTTTCCCTCCGTCACCTCAAGGCTTGGTCTGTGCAGATACCACCTTCTGGCACATCATGGTGCCATGTGGTTTCGTTGGTCTGCGAATAGCTGATACATGAAGTATGTCTTATTATTTAAGCTAAGGGAAGCTAAGACTGATACAACACAGCTTACTGAAGAACTGCAACTGAAGATTTCTTCCACTTAAAAAAAAACCACAACATAATTTGAATCAAAAAACTGCAGTTTCCCCAACTGGAAAGCAGAAAGAACATAATTAGTAAAAATTAGGAGAGTTGCATACACAGGTACCAAAATGTACCACAGAGCAAATAAAACTACCAAGAACAAACTATCTTGATGTTTCACTGCCACAACACACATTCATAGTTTCCAAGTCTCTTCAACTGAGGCTTCTACCTTCTTGAGAAGTGCCTTCATGGTCATTGTCATTCAATTCCTAAAGGAACAAGAGCTTGTGGCTTTGTATTTGTCACATTAATTGTGAAATAAATTTAATACTTTCCTAACCAGTGCACGGAGAACACACTCTGGTATTTAGGATCATTTCTATATGAATGTGCAGAATAAAACTCTTAAAAGAGTGGCACCTTGATCTTCAGCTCCAGCGCAGTGTATTTGGTATGTCTCTCAGCTGCTTTACTTATAAAATGGATCGAAGAATAAACACTAACTCTGGGAACTAAAGAAAACAGGCCATAGTTGATAGTGAAGGTTGAGTCATACAGAAATTCTCCACTATCAGAGTAAGTCCTCAAAACTTACTTTTGTTCTTTTAATTCAGTAATTTGCCTGCAGGACACATAATATTTGAAGAACTTTGCAAATATGTGAAGTGGACATGGAGACACTTCACATGGATTGCAATTAGGGGAGTTGCCCTTGGACCACAGAAAATAGCTTCTGCATTGCTTCATGCACACTAAATGAATTTAATTAATTTCTTTATAAGCCAGCTCAGTAATTTCACTGGTGGCATCCTTTTCCAGTACTCATCAGGACTTGTCTTTCCACTCCAAGATCTCTATTAAACAAACAAAAGGAGGAAGTGACCAACCTAGAGCAATGCAGGAAACTTAATGGAATATGACAATTACCTCCAATTCAGCGTTACTTCCTTTTGTCCTTAGCATCACCTTTCTCTGTCCTACTCTTTTTGTAAAATTGGTTTATTACTCTGCAAGGACTCATTTGCTCTTACTGAAGATTGCCTGTTATTTATTGGATCTTTAATCTAGGCTCTTTGCAGGAAAAGACAGTTTCCAAGAACACTATGGACTATGAACCCTTTTTCCTATCTCAGCAAGGCACTTCATGTACCCCAAGGAACCAGCTGACAGCCATACAGCCACAGTGACCAAAACTCACTGGGAGTGCCTTCAAGTCTAAAAAAGGAGTTATTCTTTTTGTTGAGCATACTTTTACCTCCAGCAAGAATAAAGCAAAGGCTCTTTGCAGACAATATGACTCATCTCCTAGGAGACATGTGCTTTGCTACATCTCTACAATCAGCAGAACCTTCGCCCCAGCCAGGGGGCACACACGGATAGGCTCAACACAGTTATGATCTGTGGTGCACCTTCCCCATTCCAGTCCTCCTTCATACTCCTCAGCATCTGAGAACTTTTCCTCAAAAATTCAGGTCTGCTTCATTTCCTGTTTTACCTCTTTACTACTTTCAGCGCTTTTGCTACACTGACTGCAGTCTGGGTTCACCTAGAGTCAAGACACATACAGAGCCTTCACACTTGCTGAGCTTCCACACTAAACTCTTCCTCCTCAGACTAACATTCTAGCTTTCTTTTTTAGAGTGACGAATACAAGGCCATCACTTCATGTCCACCTTCTGGTTTCAATCACATTTATTTTTCCTACTTTGATTAATTTTATATAAATAAATTAGTGATGTAATTAACTTCCATTGGTGACATATTTTTTATCTAGACTGCATTACAGGTTTGATTCAATAAAAGTACTGTTTCAGACTGGTTACAATTCAACTTTCAGCATCAAATACTGTTTTCCTAAGTGCTTTCTTGCCACCCTATACTTAGAGGGACCTAGTTAACCACTATAGATTCACAAGGCTATAATTTCATCTTGTAGTTTTTAAAAGCATATTGGGCCCTATTGATTTCAAGAAACCTCTTCTGACTGGGTCTCCTGGCTTTGATCCCTTCACCAGTATACCCAGAAGAGGCTTTGGTCAAATCTGGACCAAAACCAATGACATTAAATTGAAGCAAAATTTCCTGCAGAAATTGAAAAATTTGAGTGCAAGACAAAAATCACAACTCTGAAAAGCTTTATATTTCTGCTGTCTAAGCATGAAGATAAGCAAACTCCACAGCTGCCAGTCTTAAGGTTTTAGACTGAACTTTGCTTCTGAGAGGTACTGCCCACTATCCCAGTCAGGCCTGTGAGAGGGTCATCCTTCACCTATCTCACTGCAGAAGAATCAATTTGACAATGCATTGCCTATCAACCCCTTTGGGCTTTGTGCAGCTAGTTTTCACTAGGATTCCCTTCTGAAAGGGAGTTTAACTTACCTCTCTCAATCCCTTAGAGAATGCAGTAAATTAAAGTTGGCCTGTGAGTAGAGAAACATCTTGATTTCTTTAAGCTGTACCTCCCTTCCACACACACAATTTCACAGATCCAGAGAGTGCATGCAAGAGCTGAGGTCACTCACCTAAAGGGAAGAGGTTGTGGTTTGCAATCTGTTTTAAACACCTGACTCTGTAAAACGATTATTTTTCAGATCATGTTTTTCCTGCTTCAGCGATTCCTGAACTACTCTGAATTCTTATCTGGACAGTCCCTGAATTATACTGATCAGCTTCACCACCTTGGTTCCACAGCTTTGTAGCTGAATCATCACTTCAAGGACAAAAAAGTAGTTCCATCTAACATCAGCAGCTCATCATATTTTAAGTCCTCAAAAAAACACAGGACCGAGGAGCTGCATTGCAAATGATCTGCTCAAGGCAGATGGTCTTCACATACATTAACATTTCATAACTCAGCTTCAAACTCAATTCCTCAGCTATAAAGCAACAGCTTTCCTTAGTCATTCCACTGCTTCTGCAACTATTCAACCTATGTATTTCAACTATAACTCTCCTAATATATCCAAGGTTAAGTACTGTATTTAAACTCAGCTCATCTTGATTCTACTCTTTGCATTTGTATACTGAGCCCTATCATTGCTTTATCTGTCCTTTATCAATACAACTCACTTTCTATACTGTCTTGTGCTGGCATGAGTGTTTCAGTAACAAAAGGGGTGTTTGTTACATGCAATTTTGCTGACTGTTCAATGAAACAGATAGATAATTTTGACATAAGGAATTGTAGCCAGACTTTCGGTAATCACAGAAAAACCCTGATTTACCTTATTTAATGCCTGGTCAGCAATTCCCTGCAGAAATATGGACAGAAAACTACAAGACACTGCTTTACTAGGTCACAAGATGGATAAAGACAAAAAGGGTTTGCTGAGCTTCATATGCTCCACCAAGAACAACTCAGAAAATAAGCTGGAAGCTACAAGAATCAAGAGCCAGATTTCACAGAGAACAAGTATCTTCAGTTTAGTGTGTTTGGTTTCCAAACAGTGAACTTGTAATAAAAAGTACCAAATCCCACTTCATCTTATAAAAAACCAAATGTGTACATTAAAATGACTTTTCCACAGTAGATTTACATATAGGAGGGAAAAATACTGGACCTGCTGGCACACTAGAGGACAAGGAAACCAGCTTTGTCCAACAGTACCGATTTCCTCTTGCTGCCACCATACCAGTGTTTTGGCTGAGTAGTAAGATGTGGCCTAAAACACTATACTGCACATGGCTTGTCCCACTTAACTTGGCTGTTGCTGATGTTTATGAAGAGGTCTACTGTGGTTACCTGTGTTCCTTATATTCAATATTAAAGCAAATGTCATTCGAAAGAAATAATTTATCTAAAGTACTTCTGTCTTCTAAAATACATTCTAGCAAGACAATGGTTACATATTAACAAACACACAATTCTCTTTCTATAGATATTACCCAAATTTTGAGCAACACAACAGCTGCTGAGAAGAGAATGAGTTGGTGTGGAATTTAATGGGCTTCAAGTAAACGTGTGTATTTGGTTTAAGTTCTGTGTTCCTGCTCAAAAGTCTTTCTTTCTTCATTAACTTGCCTGCAAGCATTAAGGCCCTAAGAACTCCTGCACCTCCAGTACCATCTTGGGGACTAGAGAACAAAGTTTGTTAAACAACAAAACCACCTAACACATATGTAAGTCATTAATTTGACTGTGAAAGCTTTTAACATTCCTGCTTTCTATAATACACACACAAAAAAATAATCACAGTGCCCAGTTTTCTACTTACAGACAGAACTATGTTTAGGGATGGTAAAACTGACTGTTACACAATCTACTTCCAAATAATCCTGAGTTAACACAAAAAGCCTCAATTTACCTTTAGGAATGAGATATTATTTTAAGGAAGAGGTGTATATATACACAACATCAGGACTATCACTGATATTCCTTGCATTTCCCAGTGCATATTTTACAGTGAAATTATGCAAAATGAAACCCCAAAGGAAATTCAATGAAAGCATCTTTAGTAAAACGTAGAAACTTTAATTTACATGCAAAACTACAACATATTCATAATAAAAAACTGGTGACTAAACAAATTAAACAATTTGTAAAAATCATCCACGTTGTTAAATAGGTCTGTACAACCAAAGATTTACAAAGTCCCTGTACATTTTCATATTTTCAATGCACAACTGAGTTTAAAGGTTCTGCTCGAATATTCCCCAAGTCAAGAGCTGAATCTGTCTCTTCATCGATTTCACCAATGACAGCACTGCAATAAAAAACAGGTAATCATTTGTTGAAATCTCCCAGTACAAATCTGGAAAGGCACAACATTCACTTTGTTAGTGAAGACACCCCCCCCTTTTTTTTTTAAAAAAAAACCCAAAAACAAACCTGTAGAGCTCTATCCTTTGAACTTCAAATTATCATGGCTATAAGTAGAGTCTAAAGAAAGGGGGTTTGGTTTTTTGTTTTTTTTTTTTAAAGATACAGGTTATGAGAACCAAATACTACTGGTCTGGTTTTGGCAGAAGGTTAGCCTCTGAAACAAGAACTGGAAACCTAGTGAGAGAATAGCTTTTCCAGAGTAATATCTAACTGTAGCAATTTTTAAGTGCCTGTGGCATCAGATAAGCAAGATGATTTCCCTCAATACAGTCTAGTTAAATGTTGTTAATTTATCCAAGGAAGGTTATATAGTATTTCATCTATGCTACGTTAAAATTATCTGAACTAAAACACTAGTGGACTCACTAAAACTGCTTTAGAGAGAAAAGAAGATTAAGGTCATAGAAGTCATACTAGGTCAGGATGGAAACTAAACCAGAGGGAACATAAGAACAAAAAGTCTAATCCTTCTGGCATATCCATCTACTCACCACTTCAGAGACTTATGAGTGGCTTGCCGACAAAAGTGGCTGTGCCGACAAAAGTAATTAACAGCCACCAGAAACCATGTTATATTAATCCATCCAATAGCTTTCTGAATAAATTTGTAATTTTGGTCTTTGCTACATCCTACAGCAGCAATTTAAATTAAGCCATTAGCTTTCCATCTCCTTCTAATACTCCTGGTTTCACAACACCATTATAGCTGTGGTTTTCCTAAACTTAAGAGGCCTTGCCTATTCAGCCCTTCCAACAGAAAACATTTCATGCCTCTATTTATTCTCACTTGCATTCTTCATGCATTTTCATAATGCACCCCTCTAAAGATAGCAGCTTATCAGGTGTTTATGCAACAGCATGACAATGTCTGCTGGTTTAGTTTTCTTCCTAATAAACCCTAATATTCTTTCTTCCCAATTAATATTTACCAAAAAAATTGCCAGATCGCAGGGTGAGACTGAGCTTAAGAGTAAGACATCCCCATAAAGGTGTCTAGGTTCCCATGATGGTCAGTGGAAACTACAGAGGCCTAATTCAACTTGCCTTGAAACAGAAATCTGGTCAGCTGGGTAGCTTTCTTAGTTCCATTACTGCCTAGATCTTCCCTATATTGGGAGCTTACACAAATGTAAACTGCTTGTGCCAAATGAATATTCAAGTATCTCAAATTTGAGCCTCTTCAGAATTCTTGCATGAAAAGAACTTGATCCTGGATGCTTGTTACTATTCCATTTATTAGCTTTTTTTAAAGTGACACTTCAATTTAAAACATCTTAGATTAAAAACTGTCTATGATCTCAAAGCGTAAGTTTCTCTTTAGTTCACACTGAGAAATGCAGCTTTTTCATCAGGGATCTCATTCACCTAGATGTAAAAGGAACAAAGAGTATCTGCCACTCCTGAAGTCTCTTTCATAGGCTTTCTGCTTCTCATGCAGCAAAGCAAACACATATTTAAAGGGTTTGGGGTTTTTAACCTGCTTTTCTTCACAATTTTTATTACAGTTTTACAAATCACTTTCTAGTATTAATATCTTTTTTGGTTTTCCTAATTCATCACACACTTTTAAATCAGAAGTTGTCCTTTTCCTTCTAAGGACTGAATTTTTCTGATGCTACATATTCACTGCAAACTTCTAGTGACACACACTAGAATGCCTGGAAGCACTTTATCTCACAACTACTTCTTTTATTTTTCATTTTATTTTAAGCTTTCTATATTTTCTGAGAGTCCCCATTTTTGAAGTAACTGTTACTTAGCTGTTGTTTCTTTTTTCTTCTTCCTGTACAGATGCTGAATTTCATATTAGAGTTGCATGAATACAGAATTATTCCTTCTAACAAATACGTTTCTGAGTTTGTTAAGGTTACAAAAAAGAGAATAGTTTCTATAAAAGAATGTTTTGAATATATTTGAGTAATGCGTCAGCCTGCTATGGTGAAAAAGTGAAGTAGTAAACAATTGTTTGGCTTTTTATACGCATTTTTACTATCTGAATGAAGTTACTGGTAGAGCAGCATGCTTAGCCCTACCTTTGTACATTTGTCAACCTATTTATTTTGTTTAAAAGCTTAAGTCAAAAGTGACAAAAGCCTTCCAAAATGATACACTTTCTCAATGATGTTAGATAAACACACCTAGATATAAATCTAAGTCTCGACATTTCTTTGTACAGAAATATCCATTAGAACTAGAAAATTAAAACACTCATCCAGGCTCACATGCTGGTCACTGTGACATGCTCTTTTTCTGGTTGTGATAAAAAATAATCTAATTTTTTGCCATCAGTCTCAGAACGCTGCTGCAAAAAAATCATCTTCCTATCAGGGCCACTTGTCAGGCCTTCTTTCCACTTCTCTTGTAATCCTCCTGTTTGTTTGGCACAGCAGCTACCTTTCTCTGTATTTACTGAGCTTTTACTCTCATTTTGTCAGTGCATTTTATATCAGATATCAACTCATACATTTGACCTGTCACTACATTGGCTTCAGCAGTTGTTAAGACTGTCAAGCCAGAACCTTCACACATTTTCCAGATAATAAAGTGTTTCCTGTGAAAACCTCATCTAAAAAGATTCCATTAAAAGTCAACTTCGTATACTAGATTGCTGACTTCTTACACACAAGTTCTATATTATCTTCTGTTCATTCTTCTATCTTTTCCTCTGATCCTGCCTTTCACAGGCTGGAATAAAGAACATCTACACAATGCCTAGACTCAAGAAAGGAAAATGCTGAGCTTTATACTGTCCTTTCCTCAATTGGTATCAGTACATCATCTAGTTAATTTACAGCTCATTAAAGCTAGACTAACAATAGCTTAACATTACAATGCAATTAATTCTGTAACAGAAGCATAGATATTTGCTATATAATACGCCTCAGCTTTGACAATGCTGCCCACAGATACATCTGGGGCTATCAAGTTGTATACAGATACATTATATATACATATACACACACTAATCTTTATTGTTTTAAACAAGAATATGCTATACTTACACGTTATCACCTCTTACAATGTATAATCCCAGCACTACTTGCTCAACTCCTTGTGAAGAACTGAATACCCGTTCATGGCTTTCATCCAAAATCAAGTTAATGGTCTGATCAAAACCTTTGAGGGTTCCCTGAAAAAACACACAAACATAAAGCACTTCAATTACCTTTTAAATTTATCGTCTTTGCTTTCAAGGATATCTTAAACAAGGTGGCAATACTAAGGTACTAGAAAACAGATGCTCTATTCAGGTTTTATTGTCACAAACAGCTGGAGAATGAAACTTTAAAAGCAATATTCAATTTAATAAAAGTATCTATATTCACTACTGAGTGTTCATGCAAAAAGCTACAGTAATCTAGCATTAAAAGAATGAAAGTTGCTCTTTTACCAATGACAGCCCTCTAGACAACTAAATTGTACTATTCCTACACTATTTTAGTCTTCATTGTATGGAAGTTTCCAGAAATCAACTAAGTAATTAAATCAAATAACAGAAACACTGGAATCTTGCTGTCAACGCTGTTGAAATCATTCTTAACATGCAATTTAAAGTGGTATCTCTTTGAAGATTATCTTGGTTCCACAAAAGCATTAAAAAAAAATACAAAACACAGAAAGAAGAATTTCTGTGCCACTTCAATATGTTGAGAAAAATGGTAATTGATTTGTGTAATTTACCATCAGTAACCGATTAAGAAATCTAAACTCATAGAACAACCTCATTCAAACAATGGTAATATCCTTTTATATCATCTAACCATGTAATAGTGAGTCATATATGCCAATTCCATTCAAGTCTTTTTGGTAGAAAGTATCTTGTATCACAACACAAAGTTTACCAGACTAACTCCAATCAGACAGAAGATTTGGTGAAGCTAGTATTTTTCTGCTAAAAGTACTGTTTTCTCTTTCTAGAGGCCTCACAAAGCTCACTACAGACAGAAAGATATAATCCTCATGCAATGACCATACTATTAAGTTAAACTCAAAACATGAAAGAATAAAAGATAAGGTGGGGAGGAATACAAGAGTAAAAAAACCAACACAGAAGCAATAAACCCAAAACATTCACAGTCCAAGCTTGCTAATCCTCAGGTTTTCAGGCTTAAACAGAATCACACAATTCTTCAGCAACTGTCACGTGATATTTTTCTATAACCATACGGAAGAAAAAGTTTTAGTTTGAAAGTTGAAGAGCTTACTGAATTAAGAGGACATTTTAGATGGAAACCAAATTACTGAACAGAAAAATAAATGCATTTTCTTGTGCATTTCTATAGAAATGACAAAAAGTCAAAGCATTTGCACGCACAAGTTTTATCAATGGACAAAGCTAACAGGCAAGAAGTGTTTAAATTACACAGTATAAAATAACATCCACAAAACTTTAAATAAAAAAATTGTAAAGGTGTGACCATAAGTGATAATATCCTAGCATGGTTTCTTAATTGCCATGATGGAAACTCTTTACGGGGGGAAAATAGAATGTTAAAAAATACAAGTCTCACCACAATCATTCTTCCATCAGAAGTAATTACTGCAACAGTACCTGGTAGTTCATTGAGAAAATGTTTATAAAGATATCTGAAATAGAGCCATTAACATTTTCTGAAACATTCATAAGTAATATAGGTTTTAAGAGCCATTAAGAGACAGGAAAACGTATCAGCATTTTTTTTTTTTAAAAAGCAGCACAGTTGATAATATTTGACAACACAGTAGTCATTATGAAAATCTGTTTTAAAGTTTCACTTTACCCAACCGTGGAGAGTCATACACAAACATGAACACCATTAAAAGCAGACAAAAAATCTGAATTCACCTCTCTTTCCATTACTAACTGCATTACCTCAAAATTGAAACAATATAATCAGTTCTATAAACACTTGAAGGCAAGTCCTTAAACACAGCTTAGCTGTGGGCATCCTGAATCTGGCATTCTACATCCCCTCACTGAAGGTCTGACCATCCCAATCTGATGCTCATGTATCCATCATCCCGAATGACTCTGGGTTAGTATCTTGTAATTAGTGAATAAAACTGAAAATGCCCGCGCGTTATTAGGAGTAAAAAAAAAAACAAAACACAAACCCGGTTCCAAGAACACTAACTCACAGCTTTTGAGCAAATGATGTAAAGCTGGTAACTAATCACGTGTTAAGAATCCTTTAAGAGGCCTTCCCTTGTGAAACTCGTTCCTCATCACAGATAAAGTACGGATCGAGTTTGCAGCACTGGAGGCTACATAGGACGCTATCCCGTGGGTCTCTTGTAAAACTCCGTTCTACCTGCCAATCCAGTCTTATGCAAAGAGAAACCCGACAGAGCCAACCAGGAAGGACTCAAGCAGCGTAACCGCTCGCGGGAGCGGGATGCAGGAAGCCAGAGGCCCCAGCCGATACGCTTTTCACAGGCCCTCCAGTGGCGTGCCCAGGGCTAGGGATCTCCCCGCAGCTCACACCTTGCCGGCACCCGATGCCCGCATTAGCTCTGGCACCCAACCCCGTGCTGCAGCCACCAGCCCCCCAGGGCCGGGCGCCGCCCGCCCTCCGCTGCACCGAGCCCCCGGGCACCCCGCACCCGGCCTCCCCTCATGTCCGCGGGCGCGAAGAAGAGAGAAGGCCCGTTCCCGCCGCCCCTACGGCTGCCTTGAGCATTTCCACTCGCCGGAAGGATACGATTAATGTAATTCTCCAAAGCAGAGGTCATGGCGGCAGCTCCCGCGCTTCGCCTCACACCGGCAGCCACCT